CCCCGCCTCTCTCCTCCTCCATTCATTCTCCCAGGTCCCGCTCTCGGCCACGCCAGCCGCCCCCCCCATCTCCCGGTAGCCTCCCAGGGCACCCCCTCTCTCCCCTTCCCCCCCCATTCCTCAGCCCGTCTCGGTACCAGCTGCGTGCCAGCTATTCTTAGCCGCGGAGCGTTTGATTCATGCCGCCCCGGCGGAGTGTGCCCGCTCCCTCCTTCGGGGCCGCAGGGGGAGGGGTCGGAGCTGGTCCAGGGCCTTGGGGACAGCCACACGTGCGGGGCGCCCAGGCCAGGTTCGCTTTCATCTCACACTAGCCACCCCTCTAGCGCCCGGTGGAGGCTGGGGGTCAGCCAGGGTCAGCCGAGGGGGAGTGGCTGCGGGCCTGAAGTTGGGAGGTGGGATGGGGCATCGCGCAGCGGAGGCTGGAGGCCCGGCTAGAGCCAGGTGGGGCAGCGCCGCCCGGTGCCCGGTGCCGGAAACCTGGGGCTTCGCAGCCCTGGACACGCTTGGGGGAGGGGCCGGCCGACCCGTGGTCACGCTGGCTCACCCACAGCCCCTGGATCTACTCACCACACACGCCTCTTGCCTTCCCTCCCCCAACCCCCTAGCCCATCCCTGCTCCCCCAAAGTCAGCAGTACCCTCTACTGCTTCCCATCTCCATGGCAACGGTGCAGGAGCCGGGCCTGGTGTGGGGGGGAGGGACCAGACCAGACATTCTGGCTTCCGATGATGATGGGGTGGGAGTGGGGGATGAGATGAGCCAGGCAGACCCCAGCGAGGATCCGCTCTTCTAAGGCGACCTCGGGGAGGAGGGTGGGGATCTCGAGATGATCTCTCACCCCGGCCTCCCCCACATTCGCCCCACTCTTTAGTGTCCCTCCCAACCCCCGGTATCCCTCGGAGTGGGGCCACCAGTACCAGGCAATGCCGACCCATGCACCCTGCATTGCCAGCCCTCAAACACACCCACAGGTCATCTGCGGCCAGCCCACATGGACCCCGGCCACCACATTCCTGTCACCTGGAGAGCCAGCCCAGGGCCAGCCTCCCCCCCACCCCGGGCCACTAACACAGATGCCCCCAACAACCTGCACAGGCCACCTCTCGTTCCCTCGGGGACACCCCATGCGTAACGCTTTGCCCCATGACACCCCCACCTGGCTCCCCTGGGACACTGGTTCCCTAGCCCTCTGCACAGACTGTCAGCCACACTTCAGTGAAGTCACCGGCTCCACCCACTGGGCACCACTTCCTGCTCCTGCCGCCCCCAGGATCGGGGCACCTCCCTCTCCCCCTTACTACATCCCAGCCCCGCCTCTCCCCCTCCCCCGCCCTCCTACCCTGGAGGAGGATGGGAGGCCCTGGGGTGAGGGGCCAGGCCGGGGTCAGGAGGGCAGGGTGCCGGTGGGTCGTCCGCCTGTCTGTCCTCGGCTAATTTTAGGCGCATTTTCCCTGGCCTGGCAAAGTGGGCCAGTAGCTCCCGCGGTGATTCTGCGGTTTCTGGGACACCGTCACGCTGGGTCAGCGGCAAAGTGGGGCGCAGGAGGGGTGGGGGCTGCGAGCAGGGCCAAGGGCAGGGAGGAGACATGTGCGGCAGGATGGCAGGCATGGGGGTGTGTGCCAAGGTGGCAGGAGCGTCCGGGGGTGTGTCCGGCCTCCTGCCTGCCTGCCTCGGGCAGTGCGGGGCGGCCGCCCTTGACCGCTGGTCCCCCGAGGGGTCGGGGCTCCTGGTCTGACAGCCGCCCTTGGCCCCAGCAGCCGCCTGTGATGCTGCCGTCCCCCACCGCCCCGTGGCCCCACGATGACACGCCGCCCCGCCTCAAGCGAGGACGAGGAACGCCACAGTGCCAGCGAGTGTCCCGAGGGGGGCTCAGAGTCCGACAGCTCCCCAGACGGGCCCGGGAGAGGCCTCCGGGGCACCCGGGGCCGGGGCAGTGGGGCGCCTGGTAGCCTGGCCTCCGTGCGAGGCCTGCAGGGCCGCTCCATGTCTGTCCCCGACGACGCCCACTTCAGCATGATGGTCTTCAGGATTGGCATTCCGGACTTGCACCAGACAGTGAGTGGCTCTGGCGCCGGACGGCAGGGGGACAGGGGCCCAGACTCGCACCAGGAGGCCTTCCGCTCAACCCCCCGTTTCCAGACCCCCCTCCCCCACACACTTGCCCAAACCCCCCACAGTCCCCAGCACCACCCGCTCCCCGCTTGCGAGCGACTTCAGGCTCCCGTCCTTGTCACCTGCCTCCCCCCACCAGAAATGCCTGCGCTTCAACCCTGATGCCACCATCTGGACAGCCAAGCAGCAGGTGCTCTGTGCCCTGAGCGAGAGTCTGCAGGACGTGCTCAACTACGGCCTGTTCCAGCCAGCCACCTCCGGCCGCGACGCCAACTTCCTGGAGGAGGAGCGGCTGCTGCGAGAGTACCCCCAGTCCTTCGAGAAGGGGGTGCCCTACCTGGAGGTGAGGCCCACAGGCTTCCCAGAGGGGAGAGGGCGGGTCCCGCCACGCCTCTGTCCCCTCCCCGAGGGAAAACCCCTGGTGCCCAGATCTCTGGGTCGCCTGAAGGTCAGAAAGAGTCAGCGGGGCCTCCTGAGTTCAAATTACTGCCGGTCCCCGAGCAGGAGTGGCCTTGAGCGAGCCGCTTCCCTGCCCCAAGCTTCCCCGTCCGTCCAGTCCGGGAAGGGTCGGTTCCCAGTGGCACTGGACGTTCTGCAGTGGGGGGCAGAGCCCCACACTCCTTCACCTTAGAGGTTGCAGCCTGCAGGCCCCACAACGACGGTGCCGCACCCCTTTGCCCACCCAGCTGAGGCTGGGCCCTTTCCACCCTGACCCTGAGCCCAGAACGGGGTCCGGCCTCCTCCCCGGGCCCTGACGCCCAGTCTCCGTCTCTCCCCGCACCCCACCCCGGCCTCAGTTCCGGTACAAGACCCGAGTTTACAAACAGACCAACCTGGATGAGAAGCAGCTGGCCAAGTTGCACACCAAGGTGAGACAACGCTGCTGGCAGCCCCCTGAGCCCCTTGGGGACCCCCGGACCTGGAACCCCGCCCCGACCACTTCCTCCCCACCTCCCCCCAACAGCCCTGCACATTGCCCAGCCCTTCTGCTTCTCTGCCAGGGTCCCCATCGCGGGACACTGGGGGCAGCCCCCCGAACCCCCCCATCTTCCCCAGCATAACCCCATCTAAACGTCCCTCTTCGCCCTCGTCCCTCTGCGCATTATCCACACCACCTCCGGCCATTTTCCTTGTCTTCGGACTCACCCGTCTCAACTCCTGGGTCCCCCACATCCACGCAGGGCCCCTCGCCCCCCTTTCGCCTGGACCCTGACTCTGTCTGGGGGCTGTTTCGTAGACATCCTGCAGCTCCCCCAGCCCCACAGCCTACATCTCTGCCAGGTCTGAGGGTGTCCCCACCCCCAGCCACACCTATTTTCTAGTCACCTTGCCGTCCACGTCCCCTGTGTCCTCCCTGGTCCCCCGAGAGCCAGGAGGAAGCCAGGGGGCTGCTCTGCTCAGCAGCGAGGTGAAGGGTTAGTCCTGACACTTGGGGAAAATCCTCACCCTTCCTCACTACGCATTTGTCCTTGTCCCCCAAACATTCCAGCCTCCAGACGCACGCCGTCCCCTGTGGCAGCCACCGGCCACATACAGCTTCTGGGCACTTCTAGTGTGGCCGGTTCCCGAGCCGAGCCTTGCTGTGAGTGTGACATGCCCACTGGTCTTCAAAGGCTCGGTGTCACCCCCACCCTCACCCCCAAAATAAAATGTCTTCTTAATAAATTTCACATGGATCGCCCGTCGGAATGGTGGGCGTAGTACATTAAAAAGGGAAATGTCATTAAAGCGAATTTCAACACAATCGACATTTCCTCTTCCCTTTTAAAAGTAGTGGCTGCTAGGGACTTTGCAACGCCACATGTGGCTTGCTGTGTATTTCCACTGGACGGCATGGCTCGAGACCCCAGCTTTTCTCCCCTGCTCCCTGACACGCCTGTCTTCTCTCTCTTATCCACGGCTCAGACTGGGCTGAAGAAATTCCTGGAGTACGTGCAGCTTGGGACGTCTGACAAGGTGGCCAGGCTGCTGGACAAGGGGCTGGACCCCAATTATCATGACTCGGATTCAGGAGGTAGGGAGGGGACTGGGGGCTCCGGGGGGGAACACCCAGTACGAGGCCTGGGGCCTGCATGTGACTGGCCTGTCCCCCCGCTCAGAGACCCCCCTGACGCTGGCCGCCCAGACGGAAGGCTCCGTAGAAGTGATTCGAACGCTGTGCTTGGGTGGAGCCCACATCGACTTCCGGGCCCGAGACGGCATGACAGCCCTGCACAAGGCCGCGTGTGCCCGGCACTGTCTCGCTCTTACGGTGAGGTGCCAGCTGCCCCAGACCACAACACCCCGAACTGCCATGCTTACCACACGGACTGCACCGGGCGAATTGCCCCAGACCCCCCCTCTACCCCCCGCGCTGACACCCCTGCAGCTGAATCTGAAACGCTCCTCAGTCCCCGAGGTGTGCCTGCCTGCCCCGGCTCAGCAGCTGTAGCTGACAGTGTCACAGACCCTTCCCCTATGCCCAGGTAGATGACATCACTCTCCCGACACCCAGACGCTTGGTGTCCCCCATTCCCTCCGACCCAGCTCGAGGCCGGCCCTGCCTCTCTCTCTCTCTTTGTGGCTCTTAAAATGCACAGGGAGCTCCCCGCTCTGTCCCCAGATAGAGACCCTCCCCCACATGCACAGCCCCTCGACCTGCCTCCCCAGACGCTGGCCCCCAAAGCTCCCCAAGACAGCCTCCGTCTACCCCTCCGGGCCTGGCGTTCACTCCCCCAAACACACTGCCCCTTCTCTTGGATGCAAACACACCCTCTCCTCCCAAGCAGACGACCCCCAGGTACCCACAGGGTACACACGTGGAGCTGTGGCCCAGCCTCCTGTTAAAATGCCCTTTCTCCCCGTGCCCTCCGCCTCCGCCAGCCCAAGGCCACTAGATTCGTCTTCACACACAGGTTGCCTCCGGGGTGCATAGCTGGGGACCAACACCCCGATTCACAGACACCCAGCTTAGCAGATGCTCCTTCCCTTTCTCCAACCCTTTCTTGAAGAACCTTAAATGCAGCCACACGCCAGCCGCAGAGACCTGCCTGATGCCCTGAGTGGACAGACCCTCTCTGGACCCCCAGGGCGCTGGGCTCTCCCAGACAGGGCTCCTGCTCACACCCCTCCACGGCCAGGCTGTCCCATCCAGTAGCCGCTAGCCGCGTGCGCTGTTTCCATTTAAATCGATTAACATGAACTGAAATCAATACTTATGCTCCTTGGGCTCACTGGCCACGTTCGAGGGCTCAGGAGCCCACGTGTGGCTGCCACGTTGGGAGCGTGGTTTCGATGTTCGGGGGGACAGTGCCGCTGCAGGCTGCCCTCACACAGGGCTGCCACCAACACTGTCTCCTGGTGATGCTCGATGCCACCAGCCTTCTGTGCCCGAGGCCGTTCCTTGAGTGGGACCACTCCCTGCCCCCGAGCCCCCCGCCCCAGTGGGGCTGGCCCAAGCTTGCCCTATCCTCGGCCTCCTCTGTGCCTCGTCTCTGGGGTCTTGGTCCTAATGACGTGTCCCCCTCAGCCAGGGGCCTCCTGCATCCAGACTCAGTTCTCATGACCATTCTGCCGAGTAGGTGGGCACTGAGGCGTTGAGTTCCTTCGTCAGCCTTCAGGGACAGTGGGCAGGATGGCACGCTGCGGGGGGTCCTCTGGGGTCCTCTTCCCGATCCCCTCCTTGTTCACAGGGGATGGGAGAGGCTCAGAGAGGTCCAGAGAGGGGACGGGCCAGGCTCAGGGCGGCGTGAGGGCCTGACGGCAGAACCGAGATCGGCACAGGCCAGTGTGGCCCAGCTTCGGGGTGAGCTGGCACTCCCGTGACCACCCTCTGTCTTGTCTCCCTCCCTAGGCACTCCTGGACCTTGGTGGCTCCCCCAACTACAAGGACCGCCGGGGGCTGACCCCTCTGTTCCACACGGCTATGGTGGGGGGTGACCCCCGCTGCTGCGAGCTGCTTCTGTACAACAGGGCCCAGCTGGGCATAGCCGATGAGAACGGCTGGCAGGAGATCCACCAGGTGCTCCCCGCTTGGCCAGGAGGGGCTTGGGACCGGGTGGGGAGGGGTGCTTGGGCCCCAAGAGGGGTCAGGGATCAGGGATCCTGGTCCAAGGGGCTGGGGATCCACGGGATGGGGGTGAGAGTACATGGCCCCCAAAGAGGAAAAGATGGGGGTGTCAACACTGGATGGACTGGGGGCCTGGACGCCTTGACCTCGAAGACGGTTGGGGATAGCCTCTCAGGCCTCTGGAGGGGCCGGACCAGACACCGAGGCCTTGGAATGGCTTGCGAAGCTGACAGCCCGGGTGTCTAAGCAGCAAGGGGGAAGGGGAGGTCGAGGCAGGGCTTCCTGGCTGGGGGATGGACGACGTGGACAGACGCGGTGGTCGGAAGGGTCTGACCCGGCCTCCTCGGCTCCCCGTCCTCCCCAGGCCTGTCAGCGGGGTCACTCGCAGCATCTGGAACACCTGCTCTTCTACGGGGCTGAGCCCGGAGCCCAGAACGCCTCGGGGAACACGGCCCTGCACATCTGCGCTCTCTACAATAAGGTGCGGCTGGCCCTCCCCCTGCCTCCAGCCTCCCTGCCGCCCCGGGCCCTCCACCCCTTCCCCGCCTCCCCTGTCCACTCGTCCCCCGTCCACTCGCTCGCTTGTTCATCCATCCATCCAACAAGTCCCGATTGGGTGTCTTCTCTGTGTCAGGCCCAGAGCTGGGCACCGAGGGCCCAGGAGGGAGCCTGACGGTCAGCCGCTCCAACGGGATGTGCCGGCCGTTGCAACCCACAGTGTTCAGAGGGAGGTCACGGGACAGCCAGGTCCCGGTGGGAGCACGGGCCTGGCCCCGGGCGTGGGGCTGGCATGGTGGTGCCACCTGTGGCAGGCCAGGCGGGGGTCAGCTGAGTAGACAGAGGGGAGAAAGGGCGTCAGGTGAGGGGCTGAGGCCCGGGCGAGCCAGACAGGAGTCGGGACCATGCCCGGGAGGGAAAAGACCCCGCGGTTCTATGCCCCGTGAGTCTCCCTTCAGGCACCTGCTGGGTGCCGCCACAGGGGACAGAGGAAAGGCCATGCTACAGTCCCTGAGGGGGACATGGGCACATCACAAGTTATGGCGATTCAGGGCTAGGGGGCGGTCCCCGCTTCAGGAGCAGAGGTGAGCGATAAAGAGCCAGCAGGGAGTTACGTACCTGCTCCCGTGTTCTGTGGCTTTTAGCCCCGTGAACCTGGTCCCTCGCTACCCATGCGACGGACAGGCCATCCAAGGCAGCTCGGCCCCCTCAGAGGCTCGGCCTCCCCACTCCCTCCCTCCCCAAGGCTCCCCGCCCTTAGGTGACTTGGGAGGATAGGGCAGGGCCTGGCCAGCTGCTGCTAGTCCCAGTACCCCAGCCGCTACTCCCGCCCTCCGGGACATCTTCCAGAACGGCCCGGCCCCAGCTGCCTCGTCAGAGCTTGCAGTGCCAGGGACGTGGCAGGTAGCCACACGCCGCCTGGCGGCAGCAAGCAGTCAGCTTGGCCCCCGCAGAGGGAGGACTCGGCCAGGCCAGTATGGTGCTGTCACTTCCTCTCCCCGTGGCTTCCATCTCCTCGTCCTCGGCCCTGCCGCCTGGGCGCATGGCCCGCGGGCAGCCCGGGGTCCCCTGGGCGAGCCCTGTCCCCTCTCCAAGGCTCGGTCCTCTCCCTGAAATGGGAGCGACGTCAGCCGATGGAAGCGGGTGTGTGAAGCGCTCATTCCCAGAAGGCACCTCTAATAATAATAGTTGTCATTATCGTTATCATAACCGTTATCAGTCAGGATCCAGTCAGGAGACGAGAACCATACCGTTACCTTGAACTAGAGAACACGTACTGTGAAGGATTAGGTGGCGGGAGCGATGGCTCTCAGCCGTCCCCCCTTCTCGGCCGTCCCTCTGTCTGTGCCATGGGTCCACGAGGAAGGACCGCGTGGGCGAGCGTGTGCTTGCTCGCGGCGAGGTGACTGAGGAGCAGTCGCCTGACGCGTGTGAGGTGTTCTTCCAACTCTCTCCCCTTGTCTTCCTTTCCGGACTGTAAGCTTCCCCGGGCCCAGAGCTGAGTCTGGCAGACACCCCCACTCCCTGCTCCGCGGGCCTCCTGGCAGGCCCATCTGGCCCCTGCTGGGGATAGTCAGTCCACATTCGGCCCGTGAGAGGGCTGAGCCCGAGGCCCCAGCACGTAGTAGGCCTAGATGAGTGAGTACGTAAGTGGATGGATTCCCCGCTCCGAGATTGCACAGAGCCCAACTCAGAACATTGAACGAGTGTTTGCTTCAAGATGGAGTGAATGAGTGAATGAATGAATGGACAGATCTGAGCAAATGGACTTTGAATGAGTCGGCACCTACTGTGTGCTCGATGAGCACCTACTGTGTGCTCAATGTGAGCTGAATCCGATGCAGCAGGGCGCCTGCCCTGGGGAGGGGGCGTGGGAAGGAGGGAGAGAGGTCGCGGTCTGGCGAAGAGGCCGACGTGGAAGCAAATCATCGCGATACCGTGAGATGCTAGGTCACTGGTACCCACGGGGTTTTTGAGGAGCGGAGCGAAGAGCTGGGGGAGCCGGTGTCGATGCTCTGGCCGTGTGCCAGGCCAGGCGGCAGCGGGGGCATGCAGGTGTGCAGCAGCACACCTGGCAGTGGTCGACCGTCTAGCTGGAGGGATGGCGCGAGCACACGCAGACACGCGCAGTCACAGGCACCCTCAGAAAACACGCTGGGCTGGCTCTGCTGTCCAGCGACTGACCTGAGCAGTTAGTCGTGTGTTCACAGGAAAACAGACAAGGACTAGGTTTAGAAGGCCCCGTGGGAGTCGTGGCTGCTTCTCTAGCCGGAGGTGTGACCTTGGGCACAGGTTTGCCTTCTCTGAGCCTGTCATGTAGGATGGGCTTGTACAAGCATCCTCGGTGGGTGCGATGCTGGTCTGATCAGCATCTGGGAGCCGGAAGCCAGGCTGGGTTTGGCCGGACCAGGACACAGGGCAAGAGACCTTCCCTCATTCAGCACCTGTTTACTGAACAGCTCCTCTGGGCCAGGCATAGTCCAGATGTAGGTGCCACAGACAGAATCATGTCCCCGCGCAATGGACGGTGTGGTGGGGGCAGGGATGCTGACGAGACAAATAAAAGAGAAACTAAATTCCAGAGAGACCGCGTGACGAAGCAAACGAGCTCCTACTGGCTTAGAAGAATGCCGGGGACGCAGCACGTGCCATATAAATAAAAGCGAAGCAGGACCCAGGGTGCCATGGTTTTGACAGGGCAGGCAGAGGACGCCCTCTGCAAAGGGGGCATTCGAGCAAAAACCTGAGCGAAGTTTAGCGAGCCATGTGTAGATGGGGGGCCGAGGGTTCCAAGCGGACGGAGCAGCGGGCGCCCAGGCCCCGAGGCAGGACTGCACCTGTCCAAGGCAGGAGGAGGCCGGCGTGGCTGGCAGAAGGTGCAGGTGGCGGGGTGGGCAGACCAGGCGGACCGGGCCGTGCTTTCTAGGCCGTGTTTTGATCCCCAGAGTGAGCGGGAGTGACAGGCGAGTGACGTTGGTAAGGGCCTGGTCCGCATCCCCGCCACGCTGTCCCCTTCCGGCCGATGTAGCAGAGTGTGTGGCTGAGAGCATAAACATAGGCTCTGGAGGCAGACGGACCCCGGTTCGGATGTGAGCGCCGACACCCCAGCCCCGTGACCTTGAGCTCCTTTTGAAGCCTTACTCTCCTCGTCCGGAACCGGGGGACAGGAATTCCCACCTCACGGGATTGTCGGGCGACCCAAGGAGCTTCTGCCTCTGAAGTGCCGAGCGCCTGGCATGCACTAAGCCCTCCGCGAGGCACGGATGGGTGGCTCTCAGCCCAAACACTTCTGCCACCACCACCCCCAGGGGACATTTGTCACTGTCTGCAGACATGCTTGGTTGTCACCACTGAGGAGAGTGGTTGTCACTACTGGCATCTAGTGGCAGAGCCCGAGGATGCCGCTAAGCACCCCACAGTGCGCGGGACGCTCCCCCTGGCCCGAGCGCCTGCAAGGCAGAGGCCGAGAGACCCTGGTTTAGGTTAGCGTCGCCCAGCAGACGAGTGCGAGTCACACGTGTGGTTGGACGTGTCCCGGGAGCCGCGTTTTTTTAAAACAGAAAAGAAACGGGTGACGTGAATTTTAGGAGCGTCTTTTATTTAACCCGTCGTGTCCAGGGGGCATCTTGCTTGACGCAGAACCGATGTGAGAATTCTTAGAGGTGTGGGAATTATTTTCTTCCATGCTAAATCTTCGAAACGGAGATTAACTCACAGTGCCTCCTGGTCTGGCCGTGGGGCGGGGCTCAGGAGTGGCCGCTGGACCGGGCAGGGCAGGCTGAGCTGAGACTTTTCTGAAGTTCTTAGCGCAGTGCCTGGGTCCACTCACCTTGATGTTTTTCCTCCTGACCCTGTCCACTGACGGTCACCTCCAGGAGACTTGTGCTAGGATCCTCCTCTACCGAGGGGCCAGCAAGGACGTGAAGAATAACAATGGACAGACCGCCTTCCAGGTCTGGGGGTGCACGAAGAGCGGACAGGGATCGGGGGACGTGGGACAGCGGGAGGGAAGCTGAAGTCGCTGGGGCGAAGCTTCGCGCGGGGCGGGGTGAAGGGAGCGGCGGGCCGGGGACCTCACGGTGCTTCCTGTCCCCTCTCCCGGGTGCCTGGGCCCCGCTAGGTGGCAGTGATCGCCGGGAATTTCGAGCTGGGGGAATTAATCCGAAACCATCGAGAACAGGACACCGGTGAGCGAGGGGCTGGGGCTGATGGAGAACCTGCTGGGGTACTGGGGGGCGTGCATGGGAGGGTCGGGGAGTCTGGCCTGATTTGGGGGTCACGGTGGGATCAAGAAAAACCTCGGAGAGCCTTGCATGGCTGAGCAGTGTAGGGGGCGCGGTTCCAGCCCCCCACTTCTCATCCGGGTCTTTCTCCCCTCGTGCCTCTCCCCACCATTTCCTGCCCGCGTGCCCCCTGCCGCCTGCCTCCGTCTCCCCCGCTGCTGCGCTCTCTCAGTACCCTTCCAGGAGTCCCCCAAGTATGCCGCCCGGCGACGGGGGCCCCCCAGCGCCGGGCTGACCGTGCCCCCCGCGCTGCTGCGGGCCAACAGTGACACCAGCATGGCCCTGCCCGACTGGATGGTGTTCGCCGCCCCGGGGACTT